AGAATAACAAACGAATTAGTAATACCTACTACAACGTAAATTTAGTTATATAGGCCGTACTCTATTAAAACTTTAACTTATAGTTAGGCCTAAGTTTGATAAAGAGATAAATTAACACTGTAACCTGAGTTACGTTTTTTTTTTTACTTTAATTTAGTTAGGACTAAACTTTACTGTACTTGATACTATCAATAAATAAACTTATAATGTTATTCTACGACCTAACGTCAAACTTTTTTAAAAAGTTTGATAAGCTTTTAATATTCTGTTGAACAAAATGGTTAATAAAGTATATTTACATTCCCATTTGGTTGTTACTTCTTGTTTCATACAGCAATTGTAACGACTTGATCACTGAGCTTTGCTGCAGGCAGACTGTTTGTTGTCAAGTTAATAATGTGCATGCATAGTTTTTCTTGGGGAAACATTCTAACTACACATGCTTATGCAGCACGTTCTCGGTCAGAAAGCATAATGGTCATAGATACAAACAAGCAGAATAATAGTATAGATTATTGCCAATGTTTCACTTTATACACAGTTGAAACACATCTTACTATACTTTAATTGAATAATCCATTATTTTATATAAATAATGTACAATGCACTTAATAACTTGCATGTAACATACACACATTCTTAACTATGTAGTCCATTACATTAAGTTCATGAGATGTATTACTTTAATCTATTATAAAAGACATTAGATTAAATAAAACTTTTTTCACTGAAAAAAGGTTCTTCACAACTTAAGACATTAAAAATTTTGCTAATTTAGTAAATGTAAGTAAAAGTAGTTTATTAGTAGCTAGGATATATATATATCTATAAGGAAATCAAAAGTCCAAATTATCTGGTAGATAAGTATGTTGTTTTATAGTAATTAAAGATACTATAGAATTAAGGTTTACAACTGCAAAGAATAAGAAATTCTTTGTAAAAAAATGAATAAATAGTTTCTTCAAAATATTTCTGAAAAGCTAAACAAGAGCTATTTGCATTAGTTGTCCTTAATTTTCAATTAATGGACAAGATGTTAACAATGCCTACCAATAACTATTAAAACAGTAGGGCTTGATAGGCATTTTTATACACTCATCAAGTCCACAGTTGGGCAAGCTAACCACTAGTTCTGGACTGAGCACGGTGTGGTTGGAATACTGTTTTTATAAACTTCTAATTCTTGAACATCCCTAAGGGACTAAACATAGAATACAGTGTTCAAAAAATAACAGGCCTAATACTAATGTCTTATGATAAGTGTAATTAGTTATAATTATGCTTTGTCAGCTTGTAAAAGACATTCACCCCATAAAAACTGTTGATGCAACAAATAGCAAATATAAACAGTGTTACAACCACTATTACATCTGCCTGGAGAGCTCTGGATTGAGGGAAATGCATCGTTGGCAATGGATAGGGAAAATTTAGTGTGGCTGGAATACTTATTATATACTTTTCTAATTCTTGAAAATACCTAAGCAACTACGTAAAGAATGTAGTGATTAAAAATATAATAGGCCTAATACTAATGTCTTATGAGATAAGAAGTGTAATTAATTGATTGGGTAACATGATTCCAAATAGTTTTCAGCTTTTTTGAATGAAACATAAGTTAGTTAAATTTGCTCAAAATATTTCACACAGGACTTATCACTGAAAATTAACTTCTTAAAGAAACCCACAAATATATCAATTTTTAATCATCATGTTTTAAATCATCTAAAACAATTGAAAATTAGGACATCCATCACACAAATAGTCTCTTATCTCAAGGTCACACCAAAACTTGGAACTCATCTGAACAGATGAATAAAAAGTACAAAGACAATGACCTCAAGTTACATCAGATAATTAAAAAACACCCAAACTACTATATTAAAGATCAGTGTTCATAAAAAAAAATGTGAAGGCCTTAGCTTTCATTAAAAATCAATGAACAATCTGGTAAATAACAATTATCTAGATACAAGTGAAATTTGCTAAAAAAGAATAAATTAGAGGAACTGAAAAGGCAATAACCCTAAAATGTAAGAAAAAACTTGAGAGCAATTCACAAAAATCTTCAAGAAAAAAATTGTAATGAATAAACATGGATTGCCAAAAGAAGAGTGAAGATCCTTTTAAACACGAAATTAAAACAAACTGGATTGATTATAAAGATAGGACATACATTAAAAGAACAAAGCAGAATTGAGGGCTGGTCATGATCCTTCTAGAAACTCCAGCCGCATGCTCCCAGCATCGCGTG